CATGCCTTCATGAATGAGGACACCTAGTTAAAAATTCATAGGAAGATTGCATTAAGCCATCTGCTACCTTTATGTCCCCATGTGTACATTAAAAATGTGCAGCTGCCCAACATGAAACATTCCATTACCAGTGTAGCTCAGGAGCAATTCTTCACAAGTCAGGGCAGAGAGAAGATGAGTGGGAGGGAAGTGAGGGTGCACACCCACAGGGATTTCCACCCGGGTCTGTCCGAAAAGCATCTCAGATTTTTCCACCCCAGTAACACTCTGAAGGAAGTGCCATTCTGTATACGTGATTTCGAGTCTCTCACTGAGTGTTTGTGTGGGTGTGCATGTGTGTGTTTCCTCTGTAATCTGAAAATTGGTCTTGGAGTCCACAAGCAGCAGCTGCAGCTGCCATAATTAAAATGAAATAACCTGCTTCTTTCTGTCCTTAGGGACAAAAGCTTTTTTAAAAAATCCATATTGTAAATGAACTCAGGAATGTGGTGGATCTTCTCTTCTCTCTCGCTGTTTACTTGAAACAAGTTTTATGGCTTTGCTTTTCTTTGGAGTCAGGAAAGAGAAGAGAATTAACCTTCACTGACTGAGCATTTACCCTGACCCCAGGCACCATGCTGGATTACCTGCACTGCACAAGAGAGAATTTGAATCCAGTTTAGATGCTTCCCATCATATCCACTTTCAGTATTGAATTGGCCCCAGACCACTCAACCTGGTCTGATTCTGTCCAGAGAGCTGGGAGGATTGGCATTATTAAGATGTTATTGAATATGTTGGCACATATAATTGGCTTGGATTAGAAACCAAAGTTCTTAGCAAAGCAACAAGGTGAAGTATTTTGTGCTAATGATTTACATGATAATGAGATGGATTTCAAAGGATTGGATGTGTTCTTGAAGGTGTTGCTTAAAGTCACTCTTCAAGCCAGGCTGGGACTAGAAAATCCCATAAGAGCTACAGACTCTGGTTTCTTTAGATCTCAAGGTAGCCAGTGTGGAAAGAGACAACACCATGAATTAGGAATTGGGAAGCAGTGGTCACTCTTCAAGGAGCTCCTAGCCTGCTGGAAAGAAAGATATGAAGACAAGTAATTACCAGACATAGGTCATAAGAGCAGGGTCAAGGGTATAAACAACTTGCTATAGGTTTAGCCTTTTCTTCTCTCAAATTTCATTTCTTCAATTGGTAACTTTGTGAGGAGTACAGCAACCTCACTAACAAAACAAACATCTGGAATGTTGAACATCAAACGGCAAGGAGTTATCACACTGTCCCTTACTATGCATATACTCAGAGTCTGGTACTTATTCTCTGTAATCCATTATTTCCTTCCCATTTACTAATAAGGAGACATAAGAAGCTGAGTGGTGTGTCCCCAGCTGTACAGCTGGTGACTGGCTGAGGTGTCACTCAGACCTGCTCAGTTTTCTCTTGTCCCTGCACTGGGCTTCCTCTCTGAAAACGTGTACCCTTGATTGTCAAGTATATAGCACAACTATAGTCATGCTCCATGTTTAGAATGAGGAAATCTGTTCTCTCCTCAAAAAAAAGAAAGGAATAAAAAGGAAAGGAAACCTGAAGTTTTAACTGTTGGTGTCTTGGTGACTGTGATTCACAATCATCACCTCCAGGCTGCAGGTGCAAAGATCCAGATCCAATGCTTTGAGAGTGCACTGGGGACCCCTCCCTAAACAGCAAGGTCTGCCTCTAGCTGGAGGTCTGTGGTCTGGCAGAGAAATGCTGGCTTTCTTCCTGACAGTCTACATGACCTCACAGATTCATTTGTATCCAAAAAACATCCCTCTGAGTTCCTGAGTCCCCTGCTCATGGCTTAGCTGAGACGGGAACTGTGAAGGTGAGTTCCTGAACCTTTGAAGTATTATGCAAGGAACTATAGTCAGTGCTGTTTGGGACCCAACTCCAGGAGTGTTGTACTGTCTTGATGGGTGGTTGCTTTGGGAGAAGCCAATACAAGCTCAATGCTGTGTGCTAATTCCACCCAGGCTCTCCTAAGGGCAGCCCAGGAACTGATCAACATTGCATGTACCTTAGAGCAGGTAGGAGGTGCCCTGAGAACAGAGGGCAGGTGTGACAGATGGGCAGATGTCAAATTCATGTCACAGTGCGATTTATGGTTCACCTAAAAAGAAAAAGAGCAGGGTTCAGATCTTGTCTCCATTGCTTCCTAGCTAGAGGATTAAGGGCAAGCAGCTTAGCATTCCCAAAGCTGCCTTTCCTCAACAGCAGGTCAGAAAAGATAATGTTCAATGAGATCAGAGCCCCTGACAGCTTCTTCATGCCTACCTGGCACAGGATCAGGAGCTTCCCGCCCCCAGGGCCTCTCCTCTCAATTCCTGCTGAGCAAGCCTTGCCAACTTCAGCTTCCTATAGCAGATCTCCAGTTACGCCATGTCTCTGTTCAACAGCCCTCAATGACTACCTATTACTAACTAATGGCCATTGTCTGATCTGACCCTCAGGACTTGCCTGTTGAAGCTCTCATCCCATCAGGGCTGATGTCCCCTACTTTCCTGTAGGTGACCCACAAACTGGAATGTGAACACACTTATCCTTTGCCACACTTCCTTCTCCATACTTTTATTCCCTCACGTAGAGTGCCCTAACCACACTAAATGCCACCTGTGGTGCAAGGCCAAGCTTAATCAATATATTGTCCAGTAAGTCCTCCCTGAGTTGTCAACACGGTGGTGTCTCCACCCACTGTCGTGTACTAGACTTTATCTGTATCTCTGTTATAAACTGCCAATCCTAGTAGTTCTTTGTCACCATGCCTTGTTTACCTTGACAGCTTATGAGCTTTCTGCAGACAGAACTTGTTTCTGAGTCCTCAGTTTATCCTGCACAACACCACTCAGTATATTAATGAATGAGTGAAGAAGTGAATGAATGAATGTCAAAATCCCTTCCTCACCAGATTCTCCTTCAATGGAGTGCTGGCATATAAATATTTCTAAAACGTTTTCAACAACCCATGAGTATTTAGGTTTCATTAACACTCATTATAATACTTATTGAAGGTACTTTGAAACAGAGGGAATTTGGAGGTGAGAACTGAAAAGGAAATGATCAGAAAAGGAGTTGAGGATTTCCCAGAAGCCATGGCCAAGATGAAGGTGGAAAAAGAATAAAATCTGAAGTTCTGCAGCTTCTTCCAGAGGGGAGAGATGAGGTACAGCTGAGAAGCCCACACACAAAGCTTTCACTTGAAGCTTTGGGGTGTGAAGTGGACTTTAATGACCTGGCCAACATTTCCCTCAAGCATCAAACATCCGAATTGCTGACTATGACTAGGATCCTAGCAAGACCCCTGGGGGCAAAGCCAACAGATTCAGGTCCTAGGCATGGGAGAAAGCCCTGTCACTTTGCCTGTGGAGCAATTTCCTGCTCTCTTTCAAACTTGGGAGATGAACTTCTAATGAACAAGGCATAGTAACCAGAAATAGAAGGTACCATAGCCATTATTGCTCATTTGAGATTCTAGAATAATAGTTATATCCTAATTAATGCACTGTATTTATCTTGAGTACAATACAGCTTATAAGGACTTTTCTAGGTTTACTTCTAGTCTTTGTCTCATGACTGTCCCAGCCCATTAGCTCTTCTGCCCAAATGGTGTTCAAGAGCCTGACCCCTGAGGGCAGAGAAGGGAGCCAGCACTGGTGGTGAAAGTGTCCGCCTAATAGAGTTACTCCTTGTTTAGAATAGTAAGAATTTACAATAAAGAAACACAGGCAATGCAGGTGTAGCTAGCAAAATTTCACACTTAGAAGAATTTTTTTAAAGGAATTACTAGTAATTCTTTACCTAATAATAGACAATAATCAGATGATAATGACATCTTAGCTAAGTTTCTAGGTCTATTTGCCAAATGTGTATTCAGGGAACTTCTCAGGTAATGAATTACATACACACACACACACACACACACGCACGCACGCACGCACGCACGCACGCACGCACCGAACTTCAGATAACTAAGAATATCTTTCATGCCCTAGTCTGTTGCCTGTGGGTCTTTTGTACAAGAAGGCATGCTGTGTAGATACCAGGAAAGTGAGTGGACCTTGAGTTTTTGAGGGTCTCAGCTGAAATCCCACTTCCTCCTCTTGAAATGAATGACCTGAGGCAAACAACTTAAAAATCTTTGAGCCTCTCACAACTGTTCTTTTGAATGGGATAGATTCTGATACTGTGTTTATTTGACAAGTCTTTATTGTATAAAGACATCTCCTTTTATATCCATGATAGTGCAAAGAGTCAAATCCGTAGTTGTAGAATTCTAGGGACAGAAAGGACCCAACATGTTGCCCAGTTCAGAGGTTTTCTCCTTCAGATGAGGAACTGAGGCTCAAAGAGGGGAAGTGATTTGCCAAAGGCTGTAGTAGGCAGGAGGACCAGAACAGAACTCAGCTGTGTGAAGACCCCTGCCTGGGCAATGTCAGTACTCTCCATGGTACATCATGGGGCAGCCTGGCCTATTTCACAGGGTCGGCCCCCACATCCAAGAACGTTAAAGTGACTTGCTTGTCCCTAGGCCTCAGCACTGTGGCCCATGCCCCCTTCACCCTCATTACACCACACAATCAACCTTTTATTCATCAAACACTCAGTCTCTACCCTTCCCCTCACTGTACACCTGGTTGCACAGAGGCTTGGTCTGTGGTCCCTCCCCTTGAGAAAACATGCAAGCAACTGATGACTATAAGATAAGACCATTAGTCCCATTGCACAAGAGATGCGGAAAGGATGAAGGCGCACCTGAGCTTCCAGGTGAGGCTGCAGAAAGGATGAGTTTGTTTGGGGTTTGCTGAGGACTTAAAACTCACTTGCTTCTCTTCATTGCTATGGGGCAGGGAACAATTCCCATCTCCCCATCAACATTCAAGTATAATGACCACCGAAGAGAAATCCATGAGAAAGTGTTGGGGACATCTTGCTACCTGGCTCAGTCCAGTCTTTGTTCTCTGCTTCAACAGAAAGGATCCCTCCCTGTCCTCCAGGATCCAATGGCCGTGGAGAAAGGGCTGCAGGGCCCATGGATGCTGTTGATTTTTCTGATCATGCTGACATGGAGCCAGGTCAGTCCCCTCATCTGCCCTGATTTTCAGTCATCAATTGCAACCTTGATGAGAAATGCATCTTAAAATCTGAAAACATACCTAGTTTTTGGTTGGAGGCTTTTGCCACTAGGCAGCATTAAGATGTGGAGGTCAGGCAAGAGTGGCAGTAGACTTCTCGGGGACCAGATACAGAGGAGGACTAGTAGGGGGTAGAGGCTGCTGGAAACCAAACTGGCAGCCATCATGGTAGGAGAGCAGAGTGGCAGCAGTCTGCTGTCCATCAAGGGTGTTGTGGGGTGCTGGCAACAGGGTGGCAGAATTAGGTCCAGGACTACAGAGGCAGTGGTAGCCATCAGGGCCACTCTAGAGTCCATGAAACCAGAATGAAGGACCTGGAGCTAGTGTTGAGATCAGAGTATATTTGAGAAAGGAGTGGAGAGAAGTGAGTGAGAGGCTGTAGGGAGGCAAGTGGAAGCTTTTCTTCATATCTATGCAGAACAGCAAACATCAAAATAGTAGGAAACTTCTGGATTGTTTGGGGAAAGTGGAACAGTGTTTCCAGCAAGAAGGAAGGTGGCCCAGAGAGGGATAGAATTGTAAGTGGAATCTGGTCACAGTGAAGGAGGCTGAGGAAGAAGAGGAAGGAGAAAGGAGAGAGAGAATCCTGTATTGAAGACCTACTATGCACTTGCTTCTGCCAAGTCCTGTTTCTTATCCTCTGAGCACTCACGTAAGGTAAAACATGAGTCTTGTTCGAGTCTGTTATGCTGCAGTAATAAATCAACTCCAGAATCTCAGTGGCTTTGCCCAGCAAAATTTTATTTCTTACACATGCTATATGTCTAACCCAAATAGGTGAAGAGCTCCACTCTGCTTAGTGACTCGGGGACCAGGCTGATGAAAGTTCTGCTCTATTGTAAATATATCACCTTGAATTCATGGCCACCATGGTCTCTGCAGAAGAGGAAGAAATAGCTGGAAGATGTTGGCTCTTAAATGCTTCTATCCAGATATGATACACAGCCCAGTGGCCAAAACTAGTCTTTGTGGACCCTGTCTGATTTCTAGAGTTCTGGGGAATGTGCAAAAGACATGCATATTGTATGAGCCCACCTGTCCTTGCCAGGGTAGATATTATTATTTCCATTTTACAGTCAGAACTGAGGCTCAGAAACATTAACTCTCTTGTCCATGGTCTCACAACTAAAAACTGCTGAGGCCTGGACCTTATATCACCCCTGCTTCAGTCATTTCTCTGTTCAACAAAGGTGTGATGAATAGTTACCATAGGCTAGCAAAGAACAAAAGCAAAGGTGCCTCTGCTGTCTGCCTAAAGTCGTGCAACTGCACACTGAGATGGATGAATGCTCCACATGGGGATAGATGGTTCTCTATTTTATGGTGTTTCTTCCTAGATCCTTTAAGACTTTTAGCTTTTCAAAGAGAGGGACAGGTAAAACAGAGTCACATTTACAGGGGCACTGGGCCAAGGACTTGACTGATACCACTCACTTCACTCCCGCAACCTCACAAGGCAATTGTAAGATAAGAAAATTGAGTGTGGCTCAGCAAGGTAAAGGGAGAGCTGAAGATCCCCCTTCATGCCCACCTGGGTTATGGCAATCATGACTTGAAAGTTAAAATAAAAAGGTCATTGAATCTAGTCTCCACTCCACTGAAATCCAGGAAATATGGTTTTGTCCTCTCCTTTTTAGTCTCTGCCTGGCGTTTTAGTCCCTCCCTGGTTCCCCAATGTCCTGCATGTGTCACAGCTATGGGGACCCAGCTTCCAGCTCTAACAGAGGGAGCCTCTAGGAGCCTAGTGAGTGGCTTACTCATCCCCATGTTGGTGCCACCCACAGAGCTGGACTTGCAAGGCTTGATGAACTCATCCAAACAAAGGGAGGGAGGGGAAACATTTTGCAAAACTATTAGGTAGAAGGATCCAAGTCTGACAGGATGGGGCTGAATCTCAGCCTTAGCACGGACAGATTCTTCTCTCTAGACATTCCGGGGAATGCTGGAAAGACATGCATACTTGATATCTTTTCTCTCCTGTCTCATCTCCCACCATTCTACCCCCTTGTACTCTGTGCTGTGTTGATACCGACCAGTCAATTCTCTCCCTTCCCTACCCCTCCTCTGTCCCTACACTGGTCCCAGCCGACCTCAGCCTTGCATTATGGCAGTAGCTCTGCCGCTCCTATCCCTCTGCCATCTAGCAGGGCCCACTCTGTCAAAGCACCTCCCAGCTGTCATCACTTGCATCTCAGAACCCTCCTGGGACTCCCCACCTTAAGGCCCTTCCATTTCTACCAGGACTTCTGGGATGCACCCTTCCCTTCCACTGTGTCCCACCAGCTCTCTCTTGTTGTTGGCCTCTTTGCTCTTCTGTAAACCATAAACACACTACTGTTTCAGGGCACAAAGCATAGAGCCTTTTCCAGTCTTAGGGAAAACTCTTCCAGCTGAGGAGCCACAGCAAAGAGACTGGAAATCACCATCCAAGCAAGTAGAGCACAGCTGGGTTAAAAGGCCAAACCAATGGCAAGGAGCATGGTGGAGCTGAAGGCAGGGGCCTTCCTGACTCCCTTGTGAGAAAATGGTCCTCCTAGCCCAGGTCTTCCAGAGACTCTCTTCTGTTTGAACTTTTGTACGTAGCATTTGGCTACCTGGTACATTACTAGACAGGTTTGTCTATTTCTGACTTCTCCACTGAACACAAGCTCCACAAGGGCAGGGACTTACTTTGTGCTGTTCCCTGCAGTGCCCTAATACCTGGCACATGCAGGTGCAGGTTGAGCAAGTGAGTGAATAAACAGATAATTGAATGCTGGATTCCACTGTTACTCATTCTATGCTGTGCTCTCTTCCTGAGATGTCACTGCTATCTTGTCCTGAGCAGAGTAGACCAGAGCTCCCTCTGGGATTCCAGCTCAAGGCCCCCTTTCCTCCCCTTCTGCATGTCCCCTTCACCCCACAGTCAGGTGACAGGAGTCCTTATTGCCAGCTCTGCCTCCTCCTGTTTAACACCTACCTAGGAGATCAGGAAAAGGAGACAAATGGACACTAATGACATTCAGAGAGAAAACTAAGTCAGGAGGTATTGCAAACACCATGGAGGAGAGAGATGTGATATAAAAGCATCTCTCCTGGGTGGGAAGGGACCAGCGGGTATAAACAATCTGAGCCTCAAACAGGCCCATCCCTGACATCCACCCAGGGGTGCTCTAGGGGCTTCACTTTACAATCTTTAAAACTGGCTTTTGAATTGATAGACTTATTCATTTCATTTCTTTCCAACCCTTTACCAGAAAGCATTGGACTGGGTTAATGACTTAAAATTCATTAATTAATGAAGACCAAAAATATGTAATGCAAATATTAAGGTAGAAAGTAAAGAAGAGAAAAAAGAAGGAGATAAGAAAAAGAGATTATCAGGCCACTCAGGAAAGGAGTTCCTGGGAAAGAGATTGCAAACCAGCTCCTTGAGGATGGGACAGGTACTGTGATAAGCTAGTGGGGCCATAGACCTTCAGCAGTGGAAAAGCTTTGGTCAGATAATAGTGATGATAGTCAGTGTTTCAGACACTTTTAGATCTGCTGCCAACCCCTTTGGTTATAGGCATTGACACTTACATGCCAAAGACCACATGGGGAGCTTCTCTCAGTATCTCATGAAACACACTCTGCACTCTGTAAGGCGGTCTCTTAAACCTCATGAGGCTACTGAGGCACAGAGACAGAGTTGTATAAAATAGATAAATTGGACTTCTTCAAAATTAAAAATTTTTGTGCTTCAAAGAACATCATCAAAATGAAAAAGCAGCCACAAAATGGGAAAAATATTTGCAAATCATATATCTGTTCAGGGATATGTATCCAGAATATATAAAGAACATAGTTCAGCAACAGGAGGACAAACAGCATAATTTAAAAATGGATGAAGAATTTGAATAGACAGTTATCTCGAAAATACAGAAATGGCCAGGACATACATCTTTCAAAATGTTCAACATCTTTAGCAAACAGGGAAAATGCAAATCAGAGACTGAGTTATTTGTGGGACCCAGTCTTTCTGATGTGAAAACCCCTTGATTATACAACTCCCTGCAGCTGGAGAAAAGATCACACCCAAGGGACTGCGCCTGGCCCCCTTGTGAGGTCAGGGAATGGTCTGCCACTGAAGGTTTTCACAGGAAAGAGGAAAGATAGTGACCAGGAAATGTTAGGCTTGGACAGAAGCTTTCAGCCAGGGGTAGGCTGCCCAGGGGCTTTTCCCCCAGTACATGGTAGAAATTGCTAGAGTATATTTTGTTTTACCTGCTCCCTTCTTCAGAACCTGTCCCAAAGCAGCAAGTTCTCTAGTTTGGGGACACTGTTTTACTCTTCAATAATATTGAAGAAGCCAAAGGGATTTTATTTATATGGATTGTTTCTGTATTGAGTTTTGTCAAACAGTAATTAATATTGCAAACCATATTAAAACTAATTTGCAACTTATGTAACACAAAATAGTAAGTCTTTCCATTAATATTAATAACACTTCTATGAAAACTGATTTTTCCAAAAAAGCAGAAATTGAGTAGCATTGCTATACACTTTGGTAACATTCTGTAGTGATTGGCTTGCTAGAGATGCACCTGCTTCTGGATTATCTGGAAACCTCCACTGAATACTCTGAGAGAATATGAAGGAAAGGACTCATTGATATCATGGTATTATTACAAATAGTTTTGACCTCACTGACCTTCTGAAAGGGTCCTGGAGACTCACAGGGATCCCTGGAGCACACTTTGAAAACTCTGGGTACAGAGGTGAGAGCCCAACTACAGACTTCCACTGGGAATGGGGAGGGAGTCACTGAATCTAGGAGAGAGGAAGAGAAGCAGGAGCAGTCTCAGTGGAGAAGTGACAGGATTTATCCTGGAATAAAGCCTGGCTGCCCTAAGAAGACCCTGGCCTTAGCACCTCATATTCTCCTACCCCGTCCCAGCCCATTTAGTGAAACTCTCCTC